CGAGCGCTAAATTTTCTCGTTGGGCGGTAAATACTTGACGACTTACCGCCCGGGTGGCGCCCAAGCCTTATTTGTCATTTACACACCGGCTTTCACCTACATCATGGCCGCGCCCTGTAGGAAGCCGCCGTTTTCGTTTCACGCGCGTGAACCTGCGCGCCTCTAGCCATGTACTGCACTTGTACGATTCGTGCACGTACTGCACGATTCTAGTTATAGTCACGTGAACTATAAGTTCACTATTAAAGACGAAGTGGAACCACGCTAGAAACACACAAGCACGCAGGAAGATCGCGCCACCACAAGGATGGGATTTCTTGATGAAATCTCCGGCAAAACGCTCTAAAACTGGTGAGGAGAAGCGAGACAGTTCGAAACGGTATGCAGCAGAGAAGCGTGTGCGTAGGTGGAATGATTCTTGGCCGTTTAAAGAAGATGGGAGGCGCAGAGAATGGCCGTGTTCCAGTTGAGCAGCGCCTCGCCTGGAACACAGACGAGAGCAGACGGAAGCAGCAGGGGGAGTGGCTGAAAGTCGGCGTTTAACGCCGGGGACACACCGGCCACGGAAGCGCCGAGATGCGAATTGCTCACGAAATTCGGCCGCTGCTCGCCGCTCCTCAGTTCAGATCAGACGCGCCCCATTCGAGGTGTGCCTCGGCTCAGCTGTAGTTTTTCTTTTAACTACTTGGTGTCCTCCATTTCCTCTCTGCCTTTTCTCAGCTCTTTTCCTCAACGTGTGTGTGTGTGTGTGTGTGAGAGAGAGAGAGAGAGAGAGAGAGAGAGAGAGAGAGAGAGAGAGAGAGAGAGAGAGAGAGAGAGAGAGAGAGAGAGAGAGAGAGAGAGAGAGAGAGCAGTTGAATCTCTTGGATTTCCCTGCATGTGTAGCTCGGGGGTGACGGTGGCTGAAGCATTCACACTTGTTCAATTTTCAATTTTAATTCCGGTGCCTGTTAGCAGCTGAAACACATCCTCACGTGCTTGTGGATATCATATATTCTATATGAAGACATGACTGTAATAATAAGTAAAGGTTATCAGCTGTAGCTTCAGTGTGCTCATAGGAAACGTGACAAATACCTTCCTTTCTGCGTGGAGTTGCGTGTTCTCCCCATGCATGCGTGGGTTTCCTCCGGGTACTCTGGTTTCCCCCACAGATCACAACATGCCCTATAGGTAAAAAAAAAAAAATTGTACGTCGCTTTGGGAAAAAGCGTCTGCTAAGCACATAAACATAAACATAAACATAAATACAAAACACATTTCTCTTTATGGCCTATATTGTTGTCATCATCAACGTAACGTGATTTACAGAATACATGTGAACAACTAACATTTCATGTTCTACCACCGGATGTTTGGATCAAAATATGAACCAATCAGATGTTAGATCAGGTGAGAGCCAGGTGTTTCCCGTCATCTAGGTTTTGCAGCTGAGGGAGAGCAACTGCTGCGCCTTGCTCCAAAATCTGCGGCCGCCTTGATCTCACGAGGTTATTGTTGCCTACGTATGCATGACGTCAGAGCAAGTCGGGGTCAATTCGGACACAAATCTAACCGGCATGCACTGCTCGCCGATCACTGCTGGTCTAATCTGCGCAGAACTGGCTCATCTCGAACACGGTCAATGGCTTGAGTACAGCAAAGCGGAGTTGGTGATGTACTGCGTTGTATGCCGGAAGTATGCGACGACAAAATCGTGTTTTGTTGAGGGAACAAACAAATTCAAACTTGAATATGTTATTATGTTTGTGAACATGTACAAAATAAAGGTTTATTACATTTAAAACGGTTCAGTTGTTATTTTGACTCGTTTTGGCAGCTGACCAGCGGGGCCGGTAGATTCTTGGCAGGGCCGGTAAATAATCAGAATTACCGGCCCGGCTGGCCGGTTGGTTTTGAAGTTAATGTCCACCCCTGAGTAGTCCAGTCTGGTGGTAATGAAGGCGTGGATGACAGTTTCCAGATGTTTACGAGATAGCAGCGGCTTAATCCTAGCTATTCTCCTGAGATGGAAATAGCAGGATCTGATTGTTCCATTGACCTGGGTGTCCAGTGTGAGCTCTACATTCAACTTCACCCCCAGGTTGGTGACCACAGCCTTCTCAATAGGTGCTAATGAAGGAGAGTCAATCCCTTGGGCACATCCATGTTTGTATTTCGGGCAGAACAGGATAATCTCAGTTTTATTCTGGTTGAAGAACAATAAATTTTGAGCCATCCATAACTTGACCTCCTCCAAGCAGTCCAAGAGCGGTTTAAAAGAACTTGAGTTATTGCATGCTACAGGTAAATAGATTTGACAGTCATCCGCATACAGGTGAAACTTGACGTTGTGCCGACAAAACAAGTGAAATAGTGTAATCATACTAGTTTTCAGTACTTGGCTTGCGCCCTATGTTGTACGCCTGCTGCTGATCTTCCTGAGCCGGTAGATAATGATCCCGTGATAATGTCCTCAGTGTTCAGAGCTTTGGTTCATAACGTACTGAATTTCATTTTTTCTTGTGCTGGGACCTTCCTCCCATCCTATTTTGGATATTCTGGGAACCACCAGTAAACCTGCAGTCTGAGAGCGAAGTGCTCTGTTAGGAAGATATGGAACAATCAGGTCACTGATGTATGATGGAGCTTGATTGTTAAGAGCTTACCGTATATGTGAGAAACACTCCTCCTCACCTGCCGGTAAACATCCAGGGAGCAGACATTGAGGTGGCGGATACCTTTAAGTACCTGGTTATTTGCCTCAACAGCAAACTGAACAGGTCCAACAACACAGATGCTCTGTATAAGAAGGGCCAAAGCCACCTTTACCTCCTGAGGAGGCTGAGGTTCTTTGGAGTTAATTTCCAGCTGCTAAAATCCTTTTATCATGCTGTGGTTGGCTCTGTTGTCCACTCTGTGGTCTGTTGGGGTGCAGGCAGCTCTGGTCAAGACAGGAAGAGACTGAACAAGCTAGTTAAAAAAGCTAGCTCGGTTCTAAGCTGCATTTTGGAAATCTAAAAAATCTGTGATAGGTCAGTAGGTCAATATATACACTCCCCTAAAGGATTATTAGGAACACCATACTAATACGGTGTTTGACCCTGCTAACATATGATCGAGACTTACTGTTGTCGATCAGGTCCGCGATGATCAACCTCCAGAACTCCGATACCGGACCCGCTTTCCCACCGCCTCTGGAACCTGGCGTTAACCCAGGTCTCTGCCCTCTGTTACCTGTTGGCCTGCCGCTGCCCAGGAGGCCATGGAAGAGGAAACGTGGGAAGAGAGCCGGCTTCTTCGTTCAGCTTCGAAAGATCCTGAGAGGCGAAGCTCTTCCTGATCGCTGCTCCGCGGCTGTGTTGTGGCGGATCCAACAGAAACTTAACGGAGTTGAGCTGATCTCGCTGCTAAATGGAGCCCCTGATGCGGGACACTACCTGAAGGCGTGGGAGACAAAGAACCAACGCGGGCGTAGTGTGGAGTCGCTACGTAGCTTAGCCCGCCAGCCGCCCGCCATTATCGAGCCCGCGGCACACACACAGCCAGATTCCTCCGCGAAAATGATGTTGATTAACGCGCGCTCCATCGCCAACAAGTCTCACATCCTCAACGATCTGTTCCGGACCAAAACATTAAACTTTTTGTGGATTTCGGAGTCGTGGGAGCGCGAAAATGACATCACTCATCTCCGTGAGCTCTGTCCTCAAGGCTGCTCCTTCTTCTCTGCTCCACGAACCACAGGCCGCGGTGGAGGAACAGCTGTTATCTTTAAGAAACACTTTTCGTGCCAAATTATATCCTCAAACTCCTACAGCTCATTCGAGATGATCATGATTAAAATTGGTCGAGTTCAACCAGTTTATGGAATTCTGGTCTATCGCCCACCTGGATCTACTTCATCCTTCCTGTCTGACTTTCAGGATCTCCTATCTTCAACTATTAAACTAGACAGGATAATCATTGTTGGAGATTTCAACATCCATGCTGAGGATCTATCTAACAGCTCCACTAGGGAGTTCCTAAACATGATGAACTCTTTTAATTTCTCTCAACACGTGTCTGGTCCCAATCACAGAGCAGGCCACACCCTGGATCTGGTCTTTTCCTACGGACTTCTTGTTGATAAACTGCAGATAAATGATGTTGTGTTCAGTGACCATAAGTCAGTTTCTTTTCATATTAACCTAAATTCTGAATCTCTTTTACCAGTCTCTGCTAAGCAACGACGTATTATCAACAGTTCTACCATTTTAAATTTCTCCTCCCTCTTTGACTTTGTACCTCCTTCTTCTGATGACGTAGAGCTCCTTACCAACTAATTTAATGATCACTGCCTCAAAATTCTAGATCAGGTCGCCCCTTACAAAACCAGCCGCAGTTCCAGTGCCTCCAGTTCACCCTGGCTGAACAACCAGATTCTTGATCTTAGACGCTCCTATAGAAAAGCGGAACGACGGTGGAAGAGGACAGGTCTGGTTGTTCATTGCGAATATTTTAAAGAACTTCTCGAGTCATACAATGAAGCTGTAGAAAATGCCAGGTCTTCTTTCTTCAGCAACCTCATATGTCAAAATAAGAATAATCCTAAGGTTTTGTTTGATACCATCTCCAGCATCGTGTCTTCTCCTCCGCAGCAGGCTGAGCTATCTTCAGCTGATGATTGTAACACCTTTCTCCATTTTTTTGCCAACAAGGTGTTGAATCTGAGATCCAGCATTCCACCAGCCTCTACTATTCACATTCTATATTCTTCCCCTAGCTGGCATCATTCAGTCTTTCCCAGACATCTCCTACCACATCTATGCTGATGATATTCAGCTCTATATGTCCTTCATGCCACACCAGATGGACAGGCTGGCCACACTTGTACTCTGCCTGACCCAGATCAGTAATTGGCTGTCCAGCAACTTTCTTGTCCTCAATGCTAACAAGACAGAGACCCTGGTCGCTGCACCCCCAGAACTTCAGCCAAAAATTGAGCAAGAAATTGCCTCTTTTTGCCCATCAGCCAAGGCCAACATTAGAAACCTAGGAGTTATTTTTGATCCAGCTTTAAGTTTAGACTCACACGTCAAAACCATCTCCCGCTCTTGTTTCTTTCAACTGAGAAACATTTCAAAAGTCCGTAAACTGGTTTCTACTGCAGATCTGGAAAAAATCATCCATGCCTTTGTGTCATCATGCTTAGACTACTGTAACGCTCTTTTTACTGGTCTCAGCAAAACCTCCCTCTCACGCCTTCAAGCCATCCAAAATGCAGCAGCCAGACTCCTAACCAAATCCAGCAGACGAGCTCACATCACCCCAGTTTTACAGTCCCTCCACTGGCTCCCGGTAGAATATAGAATTCAGTTTGAAGTTTTAGTCCTGACCTATAGAGCTCTTAACAACCAGGCTCCAAGCTACCTATCTGAGCTTTTATCCCCACACATCACCTCTCGGAACCTTATATCCACATCTGAAAACCTCCCGGCTGTTCCTCGAACCAGACTGAAAACCAAAGGGGACAGGGCCTTTCAGAATATTGCACCCAGACTTTGGAACAGTCTACCTTCAAATCTCTGTCTCTCTAACACTGTAGAGGTCTTTAAAAATCATCTAAAAACTCACCTTTTCATCCAGGCGTTCCCTCCCTAAATGTTTCAAAAAGATGGCTTTGTTTGGGTTCACACCTTCACTTTGTTTAAACTCATGATTTAATTTTCTACTTTATCACTGCTATTGTTTTTTGGATGTTTTTATTGGTTAGAGGTATTTGCCCTGATCTTTAACATGTTGTACAGCGCTTTGTGATTTATATCTGTGAAAGGCGCTATATAAATAAACTTTTACTTACTTACTTGACCCCCTTTCACCTTCAGAACTGCCTTAATTCTGCATTGATTCAACAAGGTGCTGAAAGCATCTTTAGAAATCCTGCAGGAAGTAGCCATCAGAGGATGGGCACATGGTGGTCATGAAGGGATGGACATGGTCAGAAACAATGCTCAGGTAGCCCGTGGCATTTAAACCATGCCCAATTGGCACTAAGGGGCCAAAAGTATGCCAAGAAAACGTCCCCCACACCATTACACCACCACCACCAGCCTGCACAGTAGTAATATGGCATGTTCTAATTCTGTTTACTCCAAATTCTGACTCTACCATTTCAATGTATCAACAGAAATTGAGACTCATCAGACCAGGCAACATTTTTCCAGTCTTCAACTGTCCAATTTTGGTGAGCTGGTGCAAATTGTTCTCCTATTAGTAGTGGAGAAGAGTGGTACCTGTGGTTGTAGCCCATCCGCCTCAAGGTTGTGCGTGTTGTGGCTTCACAAATGCTTTGCTGCATTTCTCGGTTGTAACGAGTGGTTATTTCAAAGTTGGTCTTCCATCAGCTAGAATCAGCAGGGTTTTTCCTGCATTCAAATTTGCGTGGTGGCCGCTTCCAGCTATTTTTGTGCCGCCCCAGCCTGATTTCACTCTGCCCCCAGCTATATAGTTGTTATTGTAACTGCAGTTGCAGCGTTGTGCCACTACAGAGGCAATGCATCAGCAGCGGTGCACCGAAAAGTGCTGAAACCGCTGCAGAAAAAGAGCAAAAATTGCTTTTCTCGCTAGTTACATATCTATGGTTGGTGCTATTGATGTCCTGATTTTCCCCCAGGCTATTCCATATCGGAGCAGGGCTGTAACTGTCTGTGTGTGTCTGTCTATTTTTAAATGTAGCACTGGTGCAACATCTTTGAATTACTATTTTCCTCAGAACTTTACTGAACAAAGGTAAGTTACGTATAAGAAAATGCTTTTTACTGGTGCACAGTGTGGTCATCTGGATGCAGTGGAGGAAAATAAAGGAACCAGCAAAGGCACAATGGCAGAACCGGTCCAGCTTTTTACTGGTGCACAGTGTGGTCATCTGGATGCTGTGGAGGAAAATAAAGGAACCAGCAAAGGCACAAAGGCAGAACCGGTCCAAAGTTTGAGATCAAAAGTGCAGCTACACGTAGATTGGCTAATGCTAAAGCTAACGGGTAGCAGTCTCGCAATCAAGTGGCGCACAGAAAAATATATGATGATGATCATAAAACTAAGAAAGACTAAACTCTACAAGCGGATCAAAAGTCCCCACCATCCTGTTTATTCTGCATCCTGCAGCGCTACGGATCAGAATCGCTGCAGATACGAGCCACATTACTGCTCCAAGTCTAAGGCAAACCGTTGTAGTGTATAATTCACAAATGCTTCTATCGTTAAACATAAACTGGATTATTGCCAACTCTTGCATAATAGACATGCCACTAGAGGTGTGAATCTTCACTTGTCTCCCGATTCGATTCGATTACGATTATTGGGTCAACGATTCAATTCGATTCGATATCCCGATGCATCACAATGCATCACGATTATTTCATATTGATTTGTTTTCATCGATAAATAGAAGAAGTCTGATAATTGCTTTTTATTTTTTTTAATCAAAAACGTAATTGACACAACCTGCCATCCCTCAAAAGCTCTCCATTCACAACAGGTTAGGACAAAACATTTTAAACATTTAAGAAGATTTAACAAAGTAAAACAATCTGTTTCCTCGTTCAACACCATGCCTCAGGCTGAGAAAAACACGCTTTGCAAAAACTCACAAAATCTAAAAAAGTACTGAAAACCTACAGGACACATAATGTAATAATAAAATACATAATGGGTTCATATATGAGTGTTTATTGTCTCTGAGCAGTTTTAGAGTCAAATATTTATGCTGTAGTTGAAGGGTGTCAGAAATAACACCAAATGAAATGTTTGACTTAATTTTATTTGAACCCAGTGGTTCATTTCTGAAATGTTGGAGGATGAATCAAGTTCTGTTTGATGCAGAAAATAATAAAACATAAACAAATTCTACACTTCCAATAATATTTAAGATGTGTGTTTTATTCTTCCTGATAATAACACCAGCAGAAGGCTGTGGGCTGGATTAGGATTAAATTACCCAGCTGATGGATCTCTTTCACTAACCAGCTAACTACAAACCTTTCCACTAACCTGTCCTGTGTGACCCTCACCTTGTAACCCTCATGTCCATGCTGTCTCTGGAGGAGCAGATAGGAAACAAGACCTCCTGTAACTTAAAATGAACCAAAGCTTCCTCCCAGCTTCTCTTTAAGCTGAATTTAACATCAGTTTATCATCATGAAACAAAATAATAAAGTGGAACAAGAACTTCTATCTTCTATTTCTCTCTCCTTTTAACTTCTCCGTGTTCCTAAATAAAAGAGACAGACGATCACGCTGCAGCCGCCGTCATTGACCCCGCCCCCTCCCCAAGACCGGATCTCCCTACATTACAACAAGCAGTCTGACTGAGCGCTTCCAGGAGAAATAATAATTAAATTATGAAAATAACGCGTGTTTGGAGCATCAGTTTGGAGGAGCTTCCTCCGATCCTCTCTCTTATGTGAGCGTAAAGTCTCTCTCTCTCTCTCTCTCTCTCTCTCTCTGTCGCTGATCGAGCGAGCGGAGCGCGCAGCACGACAACCCGCTCAGTTAACATAATTCACGGCCCAAATCCAACAGAACCGGTCGGGCTGATTCGGTTCCGGTTTGGTCTCAGGTTACAACTCCAGCGCTCAGCCCTGCAGTACCACATTAAGGCGGAACCACTTGGTAAATGTGGAGGACACTCACTCTGACAGATTTGGATGCTGCGCTGGTGCCGCCATTAAAAAAAAAAAAAAAAAAAAAAACTACATTCCACTATAATCGATTATGGCGTACTTTTCTACGATGCAGAATCGTTTATGTCCGCATCCCGATGCATCGATTATTTGATTATTTTCCTCAGCTCTACATGCCACCGATACATTGTTAGGAGCAGAAATTAAATGTTATCACCATTTACAATACAAATGCATGTTAATGAAATGCATTATATTTTACTGGATATATTTATGTGTCATGTGGACTAAGATGAGTGTTAATACAAACCTAACATGTTACTGAAATGTAGGTCAAATATATAAAGATATTTTTACTATAAATATCAGATGGAAAAAGGAACTAAACACCAATCTAATGCATATTATTGAGCCTTTCATAATAAGAGTCTGTTATTTCAGCCGGAAAATTTTGTTGTTTTATTTCATATTTTTTAGCAGCAAACCAGTTTTGTTTCACTTGAAACATTGTCAAATGTAATATTCTATTAATCAACAGAAGCTTAGATTAGAACACTTAAAAGAAAAAATATTTGGCCTTTAAAACAGTGAGGCAGTTGAATGCGCAGAGTACGCATGTGCTGGTGCATGGTCAGGATGGTACCACCTCTGCCTCAGTTTGAGCCAGGAAAAACCCTGATCAGTCGGCCCATTCTCCTCTGACTGCTAGCACCTACATACAGATAAAAATCTATCAATGTTGTGTAAAATCAAATCAAAGAATACTGACACAGAACATAGTACACAAAAATAAAAGCATATAAAGTACAGTTATTTACTTTAAAATATAGAACAAAGATAAAACAGCACAGAATAGGTATACTTAAAAATACAATTTGAATAAATTTAACACAGTACAGTAAGACCTAGTAGAGCACAGATGCAAGGATAGGTTAACGGAAGGCATCATGAAAAAGTTGTTTTTAATTCGTTTTCAGACCTGCGGAGAAAAAACCCCACAAGATGCAGAAAAAAGGGATAAACCTCCAACCTTCATATTGTCAGCAATAAACACAGCAAAATTTAACTTTCATGACCAAAAAAAAAAAAAACCCCATGAAAATTATTCGGTAAATCAGGAGAGCAGGAACAAGTCTTATTTCTGATTTTACATTTTTTATTTCAATTCAAACTCTTTTAGACTTTTGTGTCTTCATCACATTTAGCTTGTATTTTATATATCATCAGCTTTACAGGTTAGCTGTTTCTCTGTGCTTAAAAAGTTGTTACCAACCTCTAAAAAAATTACAGAATCATTCACATGAAGTAGATTTGTTATTCATTATCTGGAAGTATTTGATTTGTTTAAAAACTCTAAATATGTTTTGTTTAATTTGGTTTTCAGAATGTCACTAGTTTACTTATAAAAAAATGTTGATGTACAACAACTTGTGAATACAATGCTTGTTAATATAGTAAGTATAGCATGTTTAACATAAGCACATTAACACATGGAAAGTAGCAATGTTAATAAATCATATGGCAGTAACTCTGGTGTACTTTCATTGTGTAAAAAAAAGCTCACGGGCCAAAAAAGGTTGGAGACCCCTGCAATAGATCGTTCAGCCCTAGTGGATGCTTAGATGATTGTTTAAAGTTTCCTTTCGGCTAAATCTTCATCCACAGAGCTCACAAGCAAAGGCTTCTGTCATTTATGGACTCCCATGTGTGCGTTTAAATTTCCCTTTACACTAAATCTATTCCCACAGAGCTCACAAGCAAAAGGCTTATCTCCTGTGTGGATTCTCATGTGTGTGTTTAAATTTGTCTTTTCGCTAAATCTTTTTCCACAGAACTCACAGGCAAAAGGCTTCTGTCCTGTGTGGACTCTCATGTGTGCGTTTAAATTTCCCTTTACACTAAATCTATTCCCACAGAGCTCACAAGCAAAAGGCTTATCTCCTGTGTGGACTCTCATGTGTGTGTTTAAATTTGTCTTTTCGCTAAATCTTTTTCCACAGAACTCACAAGCAAAGGGCTTCTCTCCTGTGTGGACTCTCATGTGTTTGTTTAAACTTCCCTTTACACTAAATCTACTCCCACAGAACTCACAAGCAAAAGGCTTATCTCCTGTGTGGACTCTCATGTGTGTGTTTAAACTTCCCTTTTCACTAAATCTATTCCCACAGAGCTCACAAGCAAAGGGCTTCCCTCCTGTGTGGACTCTAATGTGTTTGTTTAAACTTCCCTTTTCACTAAATCTATTCCCACAGAGCTCACAAGCAAAAGGCTTCTGTCCTGTGTGGACACTCATGTGTTTGTTTAAACTTCTCTTTTCACTAAATCTATTCCCACAGAGCTCACAAGCAAAGGGCTTCTGTCCTGTGTGGACTCTCATGTGGATGTTTAAATTTGTTTTTTGGCTATATCTTTTGCTACAGAACTCACAAGTGAAAGGCTTCTGTCCTGTGTGGACTCTCATGTGTCTGTTTAAATGTGATCTTATGCTAAATGTGTTTCCACATAGATCACAAGCAAATGGCTTCTCTCCTGTGTGGACTCTCATGTGTGTGTTTAAACTTCCCTTTTCACTAAATCTATTCCCACAGAGCTCACAAGCAAATAGCTTCTCTCCTGTGTGGACTCTCATGTGTTTGTTTAAAGTTGACTTTAAGCTACACTTCTTTCCACAGAGCTCACAAGCAAAAGGCTTCTGTCCTGTGTGTACTCTCATGTGTGTGTTTAAATGTGTCTTTTGGCTATATCTTTTGCTACAGAACTCACAGGCGAAAGGCTTCTGTCCTGTGTGTACTCTCATGTGTGTGGTTAAAGTTGATTTTAAGCAAAATTTCTTTCCACAGAGCTCACAAGCAAAAAGCTTCTGTCCTGTGTTGACTCTCATGTGACTGTTTAAAAGTGTCCTATGACTAAAGGATTTGTTAACAGTCCTAAAAACTGACTCAGAACACCTGTTCTCATTCCAGTCATTGTCTCGGTCTCCAGTTTCAGACCCAGAGTCTGACAGCTCAGAGTCTAGAGTTGCATCATCATCATCTCCAACGTCAGTCTCTGAAGAATCATTAGTCAGTTCATGAGGGTTCAGATCTGGGTTCCGGCTAGTTTCTAGTCCACCAGTTTCTGCTGTCGTCTGGTCAGCTGAGCTGCTGGTTGAAACATCTCTGTCTTCTATTTGCTTCTGATGAAGCTGTGAGAACAGAGGCTTCTCTTCATCATCCTCACTCTTTATAGAAGCAACAGAGAATGGAAACCTGGCAGCAACAGTCTCCTCCTTCAAACTGAGATGTGCCCCTTCCATACTGGGCCAGAGTTTCTCCTGTTCCTCCTTCATGTGGAGAAAATCTATGTCCTGCTGGTTGACACCAGCGCTATGTTCTTCTAGAGCTTCTTCTTTAACCAGCACCACCTGTTGAAAAGCTGTAGGAAACACAGAAATTCATGATGTGAATTACCGACGGCTGTAACTGTGTTTTCAAACATATAAAAGGAGCCCTGATAAACGGCCAAGTAAAAGACGCATAATAACACCTATTATAAAAAGACCTTTTTTCCCTGCACACTGGACAATCAATTTCCCTCTGGGATTAATAAAGTATTTTTGAATTGAATTGAACTGAATTGGACCAGGACATGAAAATTCAATGAGCTGCATGCTGACTAGAAAATTTGCCCTTATAGCCTGGTGATGTGTGTGTGTGTGTGTGTGTCTGCGTGCGTCTTACAGTCGCTGTGAGGTCACATTTTTCACCTCTAACATGGGGACATAACCCTCTAGGGTCCAGGGTGTAATTTGCTGTTTTTGACTAATTTAGCTTTCCTTTGCATTTCCAAAATAAAAGTCATAACCACTGCCTTATGTGGTATCAATCTTTTCAGCACAACCTGTGCTTTATGAATTCATACTTATTTTATATATTTGGACATAAAGGGGTTGCACATTAGACCTTAAATCACTCAAAAACATAAAATCCGAATTGGAAAAAAGTTGTTTATTTTACTGTGAAACCAACAAACATTTATGACGAATGTTTTTTATAATTTAGAATGGTAATCTAGACTGTACATTTATAAAAAATATGAGTAAATATAGCAAATACAAATAATTAAAAAAAAATTATTAGCCCTCTGGGGTCCAGGGTGTAAATCACAGTTTTTGACTAATTTTGGTTTTTCTTTTGTATTTTCTAATAAAAACAATAAATATTGCCATATGGGGTATCAATTTTTTCAGGACAACCTGGACTATCTGAATTTTATTAATTTGGCAATAATGTACATGAATTTTGGAGTGGGGAGTGGCTCTGTCTCACGCCGCTGAGATCGAGATCTGACAGCTGCGCGGCGCCGCCCACTCCTCTTGTTGGATCTCTGAGGAGCTGGATCTCTGCCTTCATCCTCTACCTCATCATGACCCAACTCTTCTATGAGGAAGGATGGATCTGCCACATCGTCATCAACATCCTCGCTATTTGCCTCAGACTCCAGCTGTGAGTCTCAGTCCACTTCCTCTGCTTCCAGTTCAAAAAAACAGCCGTACTATCTGAACTGCCTGGTGGACATTTATCCTTCTCATCATCCTTTATATAAGCCTAATAAAAGCCTACTAAACTGCAGCGACAATATAACTGTCCGGATCGCTCCAAAATATGAAGTTTACCGTGAATATCTGTCTAATTAGGCCCGAGCAGCAAAAGCGCTGCAAAGGCCTCTTGTTTTTGCTCTGTTTATTATTTATTATTCTTAGCCCGCTTTGAATGGCTTTTTGGGGACCTTATCATACTCCAAAACTCACATTATTTTGCAAACTTGTCAGGTCTGGTGAAAAATTTGATATTTTACAGGTCCCAAAAAAATCGCAAAGAAAATGGCTGAACAGCGCCCCCTACAAAGTGAAAAATACTCCTCTCCATAAAGCTTAGTTTATCGTACAGTTATGAAATTTTGTACACTTGTAGTACTCAACAGTCCGCACAGAAAAGTCTCTTGCAACCATGGTCAATATCAAACAGAAAGTCGGTCATTTTGGGTTGAAATGGCGATTTTTAGCCGCTTTGCCGTTTTTAGGGTCCGTTTCTGATTGGATTGCTCAATCATTTTTCGCACGATCGTCTCAAAAATTGTGTAAAATTGCTCAGAAGGGATGGAAGAACAAAATGAGACAAGGATTCTGAGTTTTCATATATGTTGAAGGGGCGGGGCCAGGCCTCAAAGTTTGACTACTCGTGGAAAAAATTTAAATTCCTATAACTTCATAACTGAATGGAACAGAGTTACAAAAAATTCTGTGGTCATTCGTCATCCACCCACAAAGTAAACAGAATGGTCGGATGATAACATCACACACGCCCCGCCCCCTCAGGACCAAAAAGGCCAAGTTTTACTGTGATAGGTCCCAAATCGCCCCATTTCACTTAATCACCACGACTTTGTAGCTGGTAACTCAAGACAAGTGGGGGTTGCTTGGTGTCACTTTATGGATGTTTTCTGCAGAGGGCGGGGCTGTGGCGGCGCGGCAAAGTTAGGCGTACTGCCGTGGCCTTACGTTTGCCTCCCATTTCATCATTTCTAAAGATATCGCCACGAAACTTGGGGTGAGTGATCCTACTCCGGCCCCCCAAAAAATCTGATGTGAAAATCTGGTGGGTGTGGCCTATTTTCTGAAATAGCGCCCCCTAGGACCATTAAAACTGTCAGCCCCAAGCCATGCTTTGACTGAGGATCACAAAATTTGGTACACTAATGTAGTGTCTCAGGACCTTGTAATGAAATGGATTACAGTTTTTTAATGAGCCATAAGGCGTGGGATTCCATAGAAAATATGGAATCCATCTTATGGATTGGTGAATTATTTAAACCAGAAGATTGGGTCTTTTAATTGCAGGGATTAGATAACCGTTGCATATTCACTCAGAGACAACCGAATAGAGAGTCAAGTTTAAAAGTTAAGAATTTTATTACTAACAAATTAAACTAGACTGACTTCAAAACTAAATGTATAGTGTAACTAAAATGGATGGGATGGTGAATGGATGAAGTGTGATGTAAAATCAGAACCAACAAATCAGAAGAAGCAATTGTTCGGACGGGAACTGAAGATGTTGTTTTCGCATTAAGCTTTGGTTACGAAGTTCAGAAGCACATGAGACACCATTTGCCGGTCTACCTACCCTTCGGGAAATCCTCTGTAGATCAGGAATATCGAGGTCCAGTGGACCCTCTCTGGATCCGAGCCAGTAGGAAAAGCTGCGGTTCCAATCAAACCTGTCTTGAGTTACTTCCGGGCACACAACAAGTTATTGGCATCTGGTGAGACCCAAGCCTGGGTCCGGAAGGTTGAGCTTTTGTTCTGAAAGGAACTGTTGTCGCTGGTTGGTATAGCGACTGGATTTTTCAGCTCGTCATTGTTCTTTCGGTTAAAGAGTTTAGATCAGGATTGGCCACTCAGTCACATTCTCTGGAACGCTTTGAACTGGCGTTAGAGCTGACAAAAAAGTCTCTTGGAGCCAAGTGCAAAGTCGCACAGGAGGTCGGCCATTTTGGTCCAAGTTCTCGATTTAGTGGTTTTCGCACATGTTGTTTGGAGAATGATGCCCCATCGCCCTTTTCACCGATTGCCTTCAAACTTCTGCGATATACTCCTAAGACATAGGGGGAAAAATTCAACCGTCGGATTTTTCAAAAGTTGTGGGCGTGGCTAAGCCTCAAACTTTGACCCGTCGCCACTCTTTTTTCACAGCTCCCTATTGGTCTCCTTTTACCCAATCACCAGGAATCTCTGGCAAATAGCAGTAGAACACTTGAGATCACTTGGTCTCCAGTATTGGCAGGTTTCGAAAAAAGGCGGGGCTTTGGGAGCATGGCGAAAATCGCCATCACGCCATGGAAATACGTTTGCCTCTCATTTCTTCAGTTATCGTGATATCGCCACGAAACTTCTGGTGAGTGATCCTAGTCTGAACCCCAATAGAAATGGACAGCTGAAGTTTGTGGGCTTGGCCTATTTTCTGAAATAGCGCCCCCTAGAGCCATTAAAACTGTCAGCCCCAAGCCAGGCTTTGACTGAGGATTACGAAATTCGGTACACTAATGCAGTGTCTCAGGACCTACAAAAAAGTCTCTTGGAGCCAAGTGCAAAGTCGCACAGGAAGTCGGCCATTTTGGTCCAAGTACTCGATTTAGTGCTTTTCGCACACGCTGTTTTGAGAATGATGCCCCGTCGTCCTTTTCACAAATTGCCTTCAAACTTCTGCTATATACTCTTAAGACATAGGGGAAAGAAATTCAACCGTCGGATATTTCAAAAGTTGAAAGGTGTGGGCGTGGCTAAGCCTAAAACTTTGACCTTTCGCCATTATATTACTTGACTTAACTCCCATGTGCATGATCAGATCTATATCAAACTTTGTCTGTGTGATCACTGACCACATCTCAAGACAATGACAATGCGGACAGCTGGCATCACCTAAGCCCCGCCCCCTGACTACAGGAAGACTACAGTTTAATGATGAAATGCCCATATTTGTCCCCTCTAATTTAGTCAATAGGGATGAGCCAGATACTCGTTTCAGATGAGTATCTGGTACGGATAAAGCATTTTTGACTAATACGAGCATGAAACGAGTAAAACTCGTAAATATCTGTAATCGTGCTGAAGGAAAATCCTCACGCTCTGTGATTGGCCAGTCACATAGAGCGCCCGCCCCTCCCTACACACAAAACTCTCTAGCCGGCCGGGAGCGCAGTCCGTCCGGCTCATCCACGCACACACACAGACAGTAACGGATCTCGCTGTGATTGCTTCACTGATGCTAACGTTTCTTCAGTTTTCCCTAGGTTTTCTTCAGCTCGCCTCTTTTTCGGTTGAATATTTAAAGTTACTTTTTTCATAACTTACCTGGTGCATTTGACAAGACAGAGCTGACGTGAAGCCTCAGTCACTATCTATGCTCCGTTTTTTAAAATTTTTTTACTCCCTCTCTCTCCCTCTCACCCTCTCTATCTCTCTCAGACACATACACCCCAATCCACATTGTTTTGTTTGACTTTGTGTGGGGCAAAATGCCAAGAACGTTAAGAAAAAAATCAGTTTAATCAAATTAAAATTAAAAAAATATATACAAAGTTGTGTCTGGTTCTAGCATCTCATATTTCCTAGTTCCTACTGCATGAGTTCAGATGTATTAATCCATGCACTTAAATATTAATGTTCTGATTTTATTGAAACACTTATTCTGTAATAGTTCCTTTACTATTGTGATCAAAATATTTAATGTCAATTCTGAGGTTGCTCTGTAAATAGTTTTCAAATAAACAATACACATATCAACTTCTGATCAATCCATATCAATTTCAGACTTAAAATAATATATTAATGTAAACCACACCCACTTCCGGTTAAACCACGCCCACTTCCGGGT